ATTAGAGAGAAGGGGTTTGGATTTACAAATGGGACTATAACTCAATATTTTAAAACCATTTCCAGCTGATTTTGCGTCTCTAAGATCAAATTTGTATATATATGTGCTCATATCATCTGCTGATATTGAACTTTTAGCTAGTTCTTATGTTCAATGAAATGTAGTTTTTAAAACGCTCAGGTGTCTTTTCAAGGGTACTTTACATGTTTAGTGTAAATGTTACGCAGTAAGGCGCTGGGACAGGAGCTTATAAAACTCGAGTAACAAGGCCATATTATATTTGAGGACAACAACCTACTGACATATTGTTAAAAAATATAAATGCAGAAAAAGACTAAAACAGGAAACCACATACCGCCGTCTGAAATAATCTTTAGCAACACGATCATAATCATAAATAAACTTAAAATATACATTACTATTATATCTACTGATGCTAGAACTATGGTGTTCTGCCGTCGTGTGAAGTTTGTCCAAGTGGTGTTGCCGTACAAAATGTATCTTTGTTATTGTAACTTATTTCTTGATATATTATATTTGTATATATAGTTGGCTTTTTTCTTGGAATTTCTCAACTTTATTCTTATCAAATTCTGACTTAATCTTCGAATATTACTTTTTTCTCTTAAGTGACTGCCCCAAACAAAAGACACATAAGAGGGGGGAATGAAATTAAACTTTGAATAGAAACAAGTTAAAAGTTGAGGCACTGCATCGACCATAAAAGCAGAATGTGAGACAGTTAGAAAACTTTAGCTTTGGAATTGTAACTTATTTCTTGATATATTGACTTTAAAAACTATTCAGACTTTATCGTTGGTTATATTTGGAACTTTTGGATCCTTGTTTTTTAGCAGATGCCCCCCAAAAAGACACAAAAGGGACTGGAAAAAGTAAAAAGTGGGAGCACTGTATCGACCGAAACAAAATAAATAAAGTGAGGTTCTCCCATGTTGAGGACTTCTCAATTGAGTCATTTCTACATCACACACCGAGAATGAATTACCATTCCCTCTTTAAGAGCAGGATTCCTGAGTCTGGATTGGTCAGCAGTTCAAAGTTCATATTGGTTCAACTCTGACCTGCTGGAGCTGAAACCAGAAGCACCTCTTTAAACTCGTCTGAATCTGCACTTTTGAAGTGAGTTTGAGTCAGTGAGAGTGGGACGAGTGTTTGCAATCATCTGTTGCTCTCCCACTGACCGCACAGAGGTCACATTTTACACTTTTGACACCTCCTCCAAAAAAACGTTCCTCCAGCTTGTGGCAGCTTGAAATTGAGGTGTATGTGTTTAAAGTAGAGACACTACATACTGATATACACCTGAACATCAGCAGGAGAGGACTCTTTAAAGTAGAGACACTACATACTGATATACACCTGAACATCAGCAGGAGAGGACTCTTTAAAGTAGAGACACTACACTGTAAAAAAAGTCTGTGAAATTAACAGGGAAAAGCTGTAAAATCACGACATCAAAAAACTGTAAATAGAGAAACAATGAAGCAGTGTTTAATTTACAATAATATTTCGTAAAGTACTGAACCAAACAAAACTGTTAAATTCATTTTTCAGGCTCGTGACACAGCTGGGCTTTGTTTTATTTATTTCACTCCAGAGAGGGTACAAACTCCCCCCCCCTGACAGGAGTAACTCAGTAAAAGATGTTAGGGTGGGATCTTTACTTAAATGGTAAGGGAGAATTCTCGTCCTAAGGGACTCAGACCTAACCAGTCGTTCAAGTTTCAAGTATAACCAAGTTGAGACTGGACGACTTCGACTTTGGTCTTCGTGGAGAAATTTGAGCAGACTTAGACGTGAACTTCACTCAAACTCAGTCACTCTCACCCTGCTCACAAACGTTAGTAGACAACCGAGAGGGTTGACCTGGCGTGTCTCCAGTGTAAAATTGTGAAAAACTGTGAAGGAGGTTTTTTTTGCAAGGAGGTCGAACACCGTCCGAACTTTAACCTCCACATACACAAATTCACTCTGTGATTGTATGCACCTATATGTGGACTTGTAGCGTCCTTCTCTGAGAATTTCATCTCTGTGATGGTGACATTTTGTTTTCAGGACCACTTTAAATGTCCCTTTTCGACATTTTAGTGCTGAAGTTTTTTGACATTATTCTCTTTGTTACTTCGTCACAAATTAAATGTTATTATAAAGCATTCATGACTTGGTTTGTTTGACAATTTAAGTGTAATTCTTTATACAATTTTTTATTAATATAAAGTAACATATTAAAATGTCTTCTAATGACACCAAACTTGTGTCTTTTGACATTAGTTATTTTGTTATGTTTTATGTCAATTTTACTGTTGTACTGCACAATTTTAGTACAAAAAATATAAAAAAGTAAGAAACTAATATGATTATATTGAATGAAGAATAACATATAAAAATTATGTATACAATAAACTTTAACCTTTTATTGGTAGAGAAGAGTTGTTGTTTTGCCCTCCTCTCCTTTTCTCTCTCTACCAATAAAGGTAAAGTTTTATTTGTATACATAATCTTTATCTTTATTCTTCATCATATAAATATATATAAGTTCCTTACTTTTTTATATTTTTTTGTACTAAAATTGTGACTAAGTACAACAGTAACATTGACATAACATAACAGAATACATAATTCAAAGACACAAGTTTTGTGTCATAGACCATTTAATATTTACTTTATACTTATATAAAATTGTATAAGAATCTACACTTAAATTTGTCAAAAACAACCAANAAAAAAAATCAATTTCACAATCATAATGATCGTCTTGCACACACACACACGATGTACACACTGCAAACTGAAACACAGAAACTGAAGTGTGTGTGTGTGTGTGTGTGTGTGTGCAAGACGATCATTATGATTGTGAAATTGATTTTTTTTATCCCAGAGGATCGTGGGATACATCCACGCCCGTGTGCTCCATTCCTGACTGACACCTTTAAAACCGATACACTCCCCCCCCCGAGGAGTTCTCTCTC